TGACCTCATTGCAGTCTACAACTTCCTCAAGGGGGGCAGCGGAGGGGGAGGTGCTGATCTCCTCTCTCTGGTGACCAGTGATAGGACATGACGAAATGGAGTGAAGCTGCATCAGGGGAAGTTCAGATTAGATATTAGAAAAAGGCTCTTCACTGAGAGGGTGGTCGGTCACTGGAGCAGGCTCCTCAGGGAAGTGGTCACGGCACCAAGCCTGTCAGAGTTCAAGGAGCATCTGGATGACACTCTTAGTCATATGGTCTAGTTTTAGGTAGTCCTATGAAGAGCAGGGAGTTGGAATTGGTGATCCTTATGGGCCCCTTCCAACTTGAGCTATTCTATGATTCTATGATCTCCAGTGATTTAGCAATGGCAGGAAGGCACCCACTTGCATCTAATCAGCCCTGGTAAGGGAGATGAGAGTTTTCCTTCCTGAAGCTCCAGGGGGCCAAGTGCATGCTTATATCCTGAGATGAGATTCAGCATGCCCTGAAGAGCATCTGCTCCACTATGGAGAGCGAGCCTCCTCAATCCCCTGTGCAAAGACTGTGTCATGCAGGCAGGAGGAACCATAACTGAACTAACCGCTTAACCCTGCCTCTGCCCACTAGCTCCTTACCTGCCCATGGGACCTCTGAAGCATGGTGATCCGGTAAAGCTGCTTTTATGCACTGACAGTAGACTCCTAACTGTGGAGGGTGGAGGTCATTTATCTTGGGAGAAAAATATCAGCTGTGCACTGACCTGCACAGGGACCTGGTGGCCATGTCAGTAAACACAGCTGTGGAGAAAGGAGTGGGGACACCAGGCAGGGTTTGGCTCTGCAGACTTTGCTCAGTGCTGGTTTTCATGGTGCACTGTGATTTACACCAGTTAGGAAAAAGGCCCCGTTGAGGTATGGGTTAGCCCATCCCCACCCCAGATGACCAACGCAGGGCCCACTATTGCCTGGATGAGGGAAGTGCATTTATTTGCTCCGGGTTAGAAAGACATTTCTCTAGTATGTACAGCAGCAACATCACACACATGCAGAGAGCAAACAGCCTGCCCCATATCCCAGGGGAGGACCCAGTCACTGGGAGAGCCGCGCAGCCAGCACCAAAGCCATCACTGCAACCATCCACGGACTGTGCCAGCCGCTTTCCACACCACCTTTGCTTGCCTGGCCCTGCCTACACTGCCCGTCTCCCTTGCCATTCCTGCTGTGGGAGCCAGTCTGGCCAGATGGGGCACTGGGAGGCAGAAGAGACACTTTGACAACTAACCAATGTGTCCAGAGCAGTGGGGCCACGGAGTAGAGGAGTTAGAAGGATGAGAGCCAACAGAGGAGCTGGAGTTTTAGTCCTTGGAGTCCAGGTGGTCTGAGGATCAGGAGCAAGTGTGGGTTCATTCCTTCCCTTGCATGCAGCATGTTGTGGGGAGATGGCTCAGGAGAACAGTTGGTGTATGGAATGGGAACGAACAACAAGGCCAGAAGCAGTTTCTGGCTTGCCTTTCCAGCATCCTCTCTCACCCAGTGGGAAAGGGTGGCCTGAAGCTGGTGACACAGCCGAGCTGGCAGATGGTGTGGAGCTTGGCCACTAAGAAATATGAAGGGGCTTGGAGGAACTGGAGGGGACTACCATGGAGGCTGGGTTCAGCTCGCACCTGTTATTCTCCTCATGCATCTGGGACACTTCAGTGGAGCCTGCCTCAAATCCAGGCACAATGTGGGCAGCGTGCACCACATGCACCTTGTTGCGGTGCTTTTTCCTCAAGAGACAGCTGAAAACTTTTTTGAAGCCCTTGCGGAAGTGCTTGGAGACCAGGGCGTAGACAATGGGGTTGAGGCAGGAGTTGGCATAGGCCATGCAGTGGGAAAGCAGGCGGAAGGCGTAGGTGGCCTGGTTGAAGGGGAAGTCTCCGTAGAGGTATCGGAGGATGACTACGTGGTAGGGCAGCCAGCAGAGGCAGAAAAGGATGGTTACAATGATGATCATCTTGGTTACCTTCCGCTTGGCCTTCTTGGACTCTGATATGTCCTCCAGAGGGTCCACTGCTGTCCACAGGTACTTGATGGTCCTGGTGTAGGAGAGGCTGATGACCAGCACTGGGATGACATAGCCAAAGGCAAATGTGCTGGTGTCCATGACCTTGCGTCTCCACTCCTCCCAGCCAGGCATGCAGATGTAGCTGGACTCCCACTCAATCAGGTCATAGTAGCTTAGGTAGGGCCCAGCAAAGACCACGGAGAGGCCCCAGATCACAACCATGGCAGCCACCGCGTTGTGGGGGGTCCGCAGCTCCCGGGAGCGCAGCGGATAGCGGATGGCCAGGTACCTGGAGGGGAGAGCAAAGCAACAAGCACTGAGATTTTAGCCAAGCTCTGCCTGGCCACATAAACTCCAGGGACAAGAGAGTTTCCTTCATTCTCCTGAAGGTCCTTGAGCAAGTGGCCCTACATGTTATCTCACGCCCTCTTTGAGATACAGTCCTGGGTAAAGCAGCTTTTCTCTTTCTAGCAAGGATGATGCTTCTCCCACAGGCTTAGGCTGGCTCACCCCTCCGTACATGGTGGGGTGTGTTATGTCCCTGAGCTAGGGCCAGCGAGATAGTGCTGTGGAGACCATGCAGATATCCACTGCTTGGCAGAATTTATCCAGCAGAAAGAGGTCTGAACGGAAGATTCAAGACCTGGGGAAGCTTCACTGGCTGATGGGCACCGTGCAGGCTCCTGCCCACTGAGGGCATATTTCCAGCCTTCTCCAGCTTTTGGATCAGCCTGGTACGGGGGAGATTTGCTCACTGGAGCTGTGGCTGCCTCCACCTTGGTACCAAAGGGACCAGATGGGCCCTTGCCTTTTGGTACTGTCTGCTTTCTCGGGCCAGCCCAAAGCAGGCAGTGATGGTCTGTCTGCTCCCTCCAGCAACAGTGGCCAGATACAGTGTGATGGCCAGCTCTGCTCCTCCACCTCCAGGCAACACCATAGGGCAAAGATGCAGATGTCAGCAAGGAGAGAAGGTGACTCGGTGCTTGTGGGTAGGGGATGGAGAGGAGCTGTCAGCACAGACAGGAGTGCAACTGCTGCAGCCTCAGCCTGCCAGTGTCTACAGAAGGATGCTCATTTGATGCACTGTAAGGCCAGCAGAGCAGGTAGATAACACATGCAGTTAGTGTGAAGGGTCACATGTATGACAAAACGCTTGTTGCTTGCTGGTCTTGTGTCCTGGTTTCGGCAGGGATAGAGTTAATTTCCTTCCTAGGAGCTGGTACAGTGCTGTGTTCTGGATTTAGGGTGAGAACAAAGTTGGTAACACACCGATGTTTTAGTTGTTGCTGAGCAGTGCTTACACTAGTCAAGGACTTTTCAGCTTCCCATGCTCTACCCACTGAGAAGGCTGGAGCTGCACAAGAAGCTGGGAGGGGGCACAGCCAAACTGGCCAAAGGGACATTCCATACCATGTGACGTCATGCTCAGTACATAAACTGGGGAAAGCTGGCCGGGGGGCCACTGCTCGGGGACTGGCTGGGCATCGGTTGGTGGGTGGTGAGCAATTGCGCTGTGCATCACTTGCTTTGTGTATTATTATTATTACATTATTATTATTATTATCATTATTTTATTCCCATTATTAAACTGTTTTTATCTCAACCCACAAGTTTTTCTCACTTGTGCTCTTCCAGTTCTCTCCCCCATCCCAGCGGGGACGGGGGGGGAGTGAGCGAGCGGCTGTGTGGTGCTCAGTTGCCGACTGAGGTTAAACCACGGCATCCTGTCATCCTGAAAGCTGCCGGCAGCTCTGCGAGAATCACTTCACGTCACGCTGAAATGCAGCCACCTGCAGGTGGAGCACTGCACTACAGCACACAAGTGTCACCAGAAAGGGAGAGAACACAGGCACTAGCACCTTGCCAAAACGTCCTTTTTTTTTGAGATACTGTCCCCAGTTCTGAGCTGGCTGGAGAGGCAGACTGCACTCAGGTGATGTAGGTGCAGGGAAGCAAGAGGCTTAGACCATGAGAAATCTCAGGTCTTCCTTGTGACAACAGCCAAACTCTGTAACTGGAATCCCAGAGGATTGGGATATTTTTGTCGGGGATTCCCCTTGCCCCAACCAGGGGATGCTGGCATCTCAGGGTGCATTGCTGAAGTGTCAGATCGCTGTTTGAGTCCAGGTGCCTGTTTCTGCAGGTGGCACCTGGGAGCAGGACGAAGTGGAAAGGGGCTGGAAGAGTAGCCCAACCACACTTTTTGCTGGGATTTAACCCATCCCAGATATTCCCTGGTACTGAAGTTTCCTTCTGCCTGAACCTCCTCATTGCCGAGGGCTGTTTGGCCCTATCTTGTCTTTGGTGCCTTGGAAGCAAACACAAGGAGCAAGATGGGCCAGGACGTGTTCCCTGTGGCAGTCAAGGCTGGAGCTTACCCCAGTGGGGACCTCTTCCTCATCCTGGACCATAAGTGTGGGCTCAGTCAGAAGTGGGGCAGCTGACACAGTCGCCTTACAGAGCCCTTGGGAACAATGTAGGTGGCACCAATCAGGGCCAGAGTGTCCTGGGTGACCTCCCTAGAAGGGACTTGGCTCACGGTGCGGGTGCCTTTCTGCACAGGGTGCAGGAAGGCTGGGGGCAGTGGGGGAACAGGAACTGCTAAAACAGGAACAGGTTTTGTGCTGGGCTGGCAGCCCCTGGGGAATGAGAGGTGTGTTTGCTGCAGGACTGTGATCTCTCCTGGGTATTTATGTGGCTTCTCTTACGGTGCCCTCTGTTTACCTTGCTGCCTGCACATGATGCTTTTCTGAAATGGTGGCTTGGGGATAGCTATTACCCTCTGAGTGCCATCTCTAATACAGAGCTAGGTGACTCATTGGGAGTCTGTGGCACAGCAGGGAGCTGAGCTTGGGTCTCAAGTGCTCTAACCACAAGGCAAGTCTTTCCTGTAGAAAGCACAGACAGGAGCAGCACCAGCTTGCACTCGAGAGATCTGGAAGTGCTGCTTGGGGATTGTTAGGGCAAGGGAGACACAACTGGTCCCCAGACTGCCTTTGGCATGAATCAATACCACTGGGGTTTGAACCATCTGCCTAGTTGTGGTGAGCCACGATCTTCCCATGCCCTCACTCAGCCCAGCTTCTCAGACTGCCCTCCTTCCCCAGCCCAAGGTCATCTTTAGACTGTTACCTGTCCACAGAGACGGCAGCCAGAGTAAAGCTGCTAGCATACATGGTGAGGTAGATGAAGAAGTGGACAGCCTTGCAGATGAAGGAGCCGAAGACCCAGCCCTCAAGTGAGTAGATGGTGGCCTGGAAAGGCACGCAGAAGACAATGAAGAAGAAGTCAGCCAGGCTGAGGTTGAGGATGAAGAGGTTGGTAGTGTTTTGGCCCATTTGCCCATTGCGCAGCAGCACTGCCAGCACCAGGCTATTGCCCACTGTGCCCAGGAGGAAGATGAGGGAGAAGACCACAGGGACAATGACACTGGCAGGGCTGAACTGGTAACTGTTGGAGGAGTTCCAGTATCCAGCCAAGCTCGCGAAGTCCTCGTGCTCCGTCATTCCGTGTCGTGGTGAGATGTTGGAGCCTGGGGCAACACAGGGAAAGATGTGAGAGACTGGAGAAACACTGCTTAGCCTGTTAGCTTGGCTGATGGGCCTGGGCTCACTGGACACACAGAGCCCCATTTTCAGTTCTGTGACCCACAATGCTTTTCAGCAGGTTCCTCTGGACACTGCTGGCCTGGAGGACACGTAAGATTAGGTTGCAGGTAAGGGGTGCCCTGCTCCCCCATTCTGGCCCTGGAGTGAATCCACAGCCCATGTTCAGATGCTGCCTTGGATTGATGATACTGGAAGTGAGGTTTGTGGGAGAGAAGAGGACGGCATCTGTCCCCAGCTTCCTCCTCTGTGGGAGAATGGAGCCAGGATCTCCACCTCCCAGCTGGTCCAGCTGATGGCAGGAGGGGTGTGACATTCCTTCCCAGCAATGGGGCTCCAGCCCCAAGCCAACCAGTTGGACAAGCCAAGATGTTTACTCCCCTGATACTGACATGCAGACTTTTATCCCTCCCCTGCTCCCAGCTCTTTTGGTACCTGCTCCTAGAATAAACCTCGCACACTAGGCACAGGGCTTGAAATGCTTTTGGCAGTGACAGCTACTACACAGCTCCATGTTGTGCCCAGGTGGGGACTTTCTGAGGAGGACAGCTCTGATGGGACTACTCCTGCTTTGGTTTCAGTGACCCAGATACATATTACCTTTCTATGTCTCACAGGGCAGCTCTCCCCAGGACTTGGACTTTTTGTATCATTCCCCTGCCCCCAAAATAAGCATCCGGACTGAAAGCAGAAGGTGAGGTTGTGCATAGTAACACTAGTTTCTCTGTCACAGGCATAGAAATCTGTCTGCATGTTTTTGAGTTCTGGAGCCGGGGGAATATCACACAGATACAGGCACAGCTTCCCTTGAATAAACACATGGTTTGGGTTCTTCCCCACCCCCCCGCGGTGTTTGTAGGGATGTGCTGTGGTTACCAGAGTGTGTGGCCCAAGGCTGGCTCACCATGAGTATGGAGATCGCAGAGTCTGTGCAAGAAACCAACCTGTAGCTTGTGCATTCTCTTTCAGGCTGGGAAATTAGCAAGTGCTCCCTGGGGAGCACTGGCAGTGCGAGTGCCTGAAGCAGAAGAACTGCAAGGGGCATGTGAGCATGGGTCCCTGGCTACAAGTGTTCTTGGTATCAGTGCAGATTTGGGGATGCCAGCAAGCTGCCTGGAATCATGCTGAGCTCTGTTCAACACTACCACAGCTGTAATGAGACCATTCCTGTACAGTTGTAAGTATCCCCAGAGGCAAGTGCCAAAGCAGGATGCGGTCTTTTGGTTGGCCTGTTGTGCACTGCCCAACAGTTGGTACAAGTCAAATACCCCACTTGGCATGGCAGCCTCTCCTCTGTCCAGGCAGCAGGAAACTCATGCTGCTACCTGGGAGCTGGACTCTGCTCTCTGGGACCCAAAAGGTCATTGCACCTCATTTGTGAACATGTGGATTGCTCCCATAGCACCTACCCATCCCGAAGCAGAGGGGATTTCACAAGGACGGCTTCAGTTGCTCTGAATGTGAATTTGCCTTGTGGCAGCTGCAGCACTGACATTTTATGTCTGCCTTAGACTCTTCTGTTTTACAGTAACCTTGAGCTCCATGAATGCTGCTTGTGTGGCAGAGGGATGAGCTTTCCTCTGGAAAGCTGGGATGGCCAGTACTGAAGTGCATACTACTTAGTTTTGCTAGCTCTGCCTCTGTGTCCAAACAAAGCCAATTCAAATGGCAGTGTCAGCTCTCAGTACAAGCAAAAGTTCCCCTGCAGCCATGTGAAGAAGATATTGTACCCCATGCAGTATGGGTGTGTGGGAAGCAGGGGAGCTTACACAGGCCCTGGCAGGAGTGGGAGAGAGAGAGATGGATGGGAGCCTGACACAGGGTCTGGTGCCAGAGTCTGGCTGAGGACCTCGGTCTCTTCTCATGCTGCCTAATTCCTCTGGGACCAGGAAGCTTCCCTGAATGCAGGGGAGAGCAACTCAGGCTGCCACTGGTGTTTTATTCTTACCTCTACTTGATTGCACTGGCTTAGGCTGTGCTTGGGATTATACCCCATGCAAGGCTGTGGCACTGAGATCCTTCTTCCATGGGGCTGAGAAAGATATTAGGAAAGCTGGAGAAGAGCTGACAGCTCAGCCAGAAACCAACTTCATCTTATCACCCACCCAGACAGTGCCTGTGTTGCCTGGTAGAGTCTCTGGCTACTTCACCCTGCATCTCCCCCCATCCATCTCATTGCCAAGCGTCCTCTCTTTGCTCTCTCTTGCAAGGCAGACGAGCTGCTAGTCAGCCCTCCTCAAAGGCTACTCTAAAGAGAACAAAAAGACAGGGAATACCTGCGCATGCCTCTGCAAATCAAGGAAGGCAACTCTGCAAACATCCCCCTCACTGGTGCGACCTGCAGTGAAATCACTTTGGAGTACTTGCACATCACATAGCCTGGTTGCAGACCAAATTTGACATCCCTTGATGTGCACATGAGCAGCTCATGCTTTACTTGGAAAAACTGTTTCTGGCTGTCAGGGAGCCACTACTGTTGTCCTTTACCACTCAGCTCCAAGCTTATTTCTTGAGTCTGTAGGAATGGGAATTCAGGGAGCTTGGTGCGTTCTTTTCAGGGACAGCCAGTGGCCAGGAGCAGAGTGCCAGGAAGGATGTGGTGGCAGGTTGGTAACTGTACCCTTGCCACAGCTTTGAGGTTCTCCCTGATTGCCCATGGCTCATGACCCATCTACATGAAGTCAACGTAGTGCTTCAGTCCCCTTTACAGATGGGAGTTGAGACACAGCGAGCATGAAGAGGTTGCTTTGTAACTGGTTGGATCAGGGAATTCACTGATGCAGCAGAGAAGCAAATCTTTATCTCTGCTGGCTTAGCTCTGATCCACCCCTCCGTGTACAGTCCTGCCTACAGACAGAACAGCAATAGAACAGGCAGAGAGTGAAAGCAGGGTCTCTTAAGTGACATATACGAACTGTGACACTGATGCTGGGGCACTGGGGTGCTAAGAGATTCTCACAGAGTCATTCAGAGCATCTCTGGCAGAGTGGGATGTCTCCCAATCCCTATTTAGTATCTTCTCAGTAAGCTGCCACTCACCCCCACGGCTCTGTTGTCCCTTGGAAGCATTTTGCAACCATTTCACACCCTACCATTTTGTGAACTGGTTTATGACAATGCTCCTGAGTTTCACTTGGTTCTGAATAGCCTTGACTAGCAGTGAGAGGGACACCTGCTCTGAGCAGAGGGAAAATGCAGAGCATGGGCAACAGGGTTCCTCTCCCACATCTGCTACTCAGGGTTAGCAGGGGCAAAGGCGATGTGATGGAGGAGGCAATATTCCCAGGGATGAAAACCCAATCAGTGGCAAAGTTGGGACTCAAGAGACCTGATTTTTCTAATGAGGGTTTGGTAAAGGATTGGCAGGGAGACTGGTTCCCAGTACCCATCTGTGTGGGGGTACCAAAAAGACCAACACAGAGCCTTGGTGTGGGCAGGCAGCAGGTCATGCCAGGGATGCCCGTGAGCCAGCATAGCCAGCTCCTGTGTCAAGGGAAGGCCAAGAAGGGCAGGAGGAGGCAGGGTAAGAGGACAGAAACAGCAGTGCTGGGGGGAGAACACAGATCCTGCTGGTCTGGCCAGACAGGAGCAGGGAGAGGAGAGATGCGACAGGGAGCAGGCAGTTCAAACTCCCTGTTTCAGTGGGCTTGGGAGCCAGCTCCCCCCGGGCTCTGTCTGCTGCTGCCATTGCTGTAGAGCGCCTCCACTTCCCCATTTGCGCAGCAAAGCTGCAGTCAGGCGCCTCATTCGCTCTGAGGCGGGACAAGGCAGAGCCCCCTTTCTTGGCCAGCTCGGGGGCTCAGCCTGGGAGTCACCGCTGCCCTCCAGCACCCTGCACCCCACCCCGCCTGTGCTGTGC